GTGTTTCTTTGTTTTTTTTTTTAAAGTTCAATCTACTCTTCGCATTCATCCAGTAAAACAGAGTCAAAGAAATCCATTTACCTTAATCTGAGTCTGTTCGATTGATTTTTCCCATATTTGCTGATCATATGCTCCAATCTGAAATAGGGAACAGCCATTTAAATGATGCCGAGGAAATTCTTATATATAAGTCGAGCCTCGCCAAAGTCATGAATCCATTAAATATCAGTATAATATCTGGAAAATGTTTTATGCTTCTCAGAATAAAAATAAATATTTTTAACGACTGTTTCCTTCCAAAATCTAATATAGCTTGATCTAAAAGTTAAGTTAAAAAGCAATGCCCAAGGACCAGCAGATGGCATAGTGGTTAAGTCACAGGACTCCCATGTAGCTGACCTTGGTTTCAGTTCTGGGTCTGGCGGCCTCAAACTCACACAGAGTGCTTGTGCCGTGTGCCCAAAATCTGAAGAGGAGAAGGGATTGCAGTGTAGCCATTCCCTCTGGAGGATGATTTCTGGTTTTCTGTCTCTCTGCCTCTCCAGCGAGTATATGCACCCTGTAGAAAAATCTCTTAAAAAAACAGCCATGCCTGGGACCAGCAGTTGGCAATGGCTATGTTGCTGGACTCTCATGTAGTCGACCGCGGTTAAAGTCCCTGACCAGTGGCTTAAACTCCCACCAGGTGCATATGCCTGTGTGCCCAAGATCCCGAGAGGAGAATGGAGGAGAAGAGATTGTGGCGTGGCCATCCCCCCCCACCCGGGGGGTAGTAATTTCTCGCTTTCTGTCTCTATCTTTCTGGTGAAGCACATGGGCCCTATAGCAAAAAAAATTAAAAAAAAAAAAAACAGGAAAAAAACATGCCTAAAATATTTCAGATTAAGTATTACCTAAGAAATTTCCACTTCTTTTTTTTTAAGATTTATTTTACTTAACTTTATTTATTTATTTTTTGGAGAGGTTTTTGCTATAGAGTGCGTGTGCTCACCAGACAGACAGACACAGAGAGATAGAAAGCGAGAAATCATCCCCCAGGGGAGATGGCTGCCGCAATCCTTTCTCCTCCATTCTCCTCTTGGGATCTTGGGCATGCACGCACACACACGCGCCCGGTGTGAGTTTTAAGCCACCGGGTCCGGGACTCGAACCGTGGTCAACTACGTGGGAGCCCAGCAACATAGCCATTACGCTAACTGTTGGTCCCTTAACTTCATTTATTTTCATTTGACTAGAGAGGGACAGAATGAGTGAGTGAGAGAGAGAGAAAGTGAGAAAGCAAGCCACCAGGTCCAAGACTAGAACCGCAATTGCCACACGCCACTTGCTGGCCCGGTATTTCCACTTCTTAAGGAAGCCATCAATGGGAAAACTAGAGAGGAATAAAAGGTCAGGGTAGCTCAGTAGGATTGACTGACAGTTCCAGTCTGGGCTCCGCAAAGGTTTCATGTTCTTTTTCAAAATTTTTAAGGCAGTTTGATCATATGCAAACTTTCAAAGGATTTCAAAGGATTGTCGTTGCCTTGTGCCTGAAGTAGGGAGGTGACTTGAAAATCTTATTCTGGGACCTGGAACTGGGTTTTAAAAACACCAATTTTTGTACAACAATTTCTCCATTTATATTGAGATATCGTATAAACCTGGCAATATCAAACTCAGGATAAAAAGCAACGTGAGAGTTTTCTGCAAGAAGTACACTGCACAAATAAAAATACTGACATTACCTTCTTTTGGTACCATGATATAGCATCTCTCTCATTTGAGGCCATCTGTGGCTCCAGCCAGAGAATGGGATTTCACTGAAAACGGACAGAAACCCAGTCGTGAGTCCAGGTGCTGAAGGCTGCTCTCCCAGCTTGGGCAGGACTTTTGGAAAGGAGCTTCTCTCCGCCACTCCGTGAGCGGCTCTTTGTCCAGCTCCTTGCCAGGAAAACAACGACGACGACAAACAAGCCGGCAGAGTGGCAGCGCGAGCAGCCCCTGCAGTGTTTTGGGGCAAGTGGGTTCAAGGATGCAGGGGACGCGCAGGGAACTGGCCGGGGAGCGGAGGTCGCCCGGGCCGACCCTCCTCTCCCCAGGGTCCGCTCTCACCTGGTGCCCGCTGCCCTGCGGGTGGGCGGCCAGGACCTTCCTCAGTGGCCCCGGCCGGTCCGTGAGGCCCGGGGTGAGGCGACGGGACCCGCAGGCCGCATCTTCCCCCGGAGGCCGAGACGCCGGCGGGGCCGTTACCATGGAGACCGCGGCGGCCGCCGAGCGCCGGGAGGAGGCAGTCTGTGGTCACAGACACGGCGCCCTGGAAGGCCGACCTACGGGGTTGCCGGCGACCACAGATAAGCGAAGAACGAACTGGAAAACGAAGGGACTAAAAGGGAAGGGACGGTGTCTTCGCTAGGCGGCCGGTCGCTATGGCAACGGCGGAGGTTCTGAGCCCGGCGGAAAACACAGGTGCAAAGGCCCCAGGCCCCGGGAGGAGGCGGCCCCCGCCCCAGGCGCCCGGGCGGAGGAGCGCGCGTCCT